AAAAAAGAGTTTTTATTTTGCAAAGAAAGAACAACCTCTAGACACCACTCAGGGAGAATCACTAAGTTGACTGTTTAGGAAAGTACTGACCGTGACTAGGAGAACTACTGTTTTTTGGATGCTGGCAACTACTCCAAGCGTTCTGGACTCAGGCGTCCTAACTAGAGATGCATCGGGTTAGTTGGTCCGTCCCGGTTTGGTCCTCGGCTCCAAAATGGCTTTTATTGGATAAAAGGACCGTTCCATCGGTCCCGGCTAGTGATGGGAAAATGTGAATTTTTCGAAATCATGCATATGAATGCCGGTCTCAGACCGGCTTAGGACCGACCCCAATGCAACCCTAGTTAAACTTTGTGGATAATAAATCTATTGGTTTTATTATTGCAAAGGGATAACTCCTAGTTATATTTCTGGAGAATCACTTGTAGATTATCGGAGGCAAGAGAACTACTGCGTTTGGATACTGGTAACCACTCAAGGTGTTCTGGATTCAGATGTCCTACTTTGTTGTTAATAAGGAACTATTGATTCTGGAGAAGGAATCATATGTATATCCTTATTCCAAGTAAAAACTGCATTATTAACATCTGTAAAATGGAGCTAGAATATAACTAGCATTTAAGGCAAACCTAATTTTAATTCAAAATTTGCATTGCTTAGTCTTGACAATAATATTGAGTTTCAATTAATTTATAATTCTATGATTTAATTTTCTCTTGTTAAACTGAAAATGTCGATGTGCAATATAATATTTACGATATTGGTTTTTATAAAGTTAAGTATTATTATTTCTAAATAATGAATGTGGTTTAATTTTTCGGTTATGTAAAGATAAAGATGGGGTTTATGCATTTGCATGATTTGGGATTCATACGCGACTTGCCTCATCGAAGTTTTATAGATATAGAAAAATTAAAATATAAAGTAAGGATAAGACTAATTTTATTTAGTGGTTTACATTACTCCTTCTCTTTAGTTCCTCCGTTATTCTCTATAAGAAAGGGATATATCTTATGAATTGGGTCAGAGTACATGATGCCGAGTGAATTGTGGCATAATGTTCAGGATTATTTTCGAAGGTAATAAATAAGTAGGTAAAATTTAATATGTACATTTACTAGAATTACAGTGCATTTCTAAACTTTCTTAAACGGGTAATACTCGCTTGGCTAATATACGATGACTGACGTATCGTGCAGTACTACAATCTAATACAAAGCACGAAGCAATCTCAATACAAGCAAACCGAGTATTTTTATGGAAGGATTTAATTTCGGTAAATTCCTTTTGGATTTTCGCCTTATATATATATATATATTATCACCTTATATACTTAATTATCATCTATATACTTATATACATATTTATTGATATATAATTAATTACATTATTTGATATGCAATTTATACTGATTATCACAAAGTTTAGTAACATGAATTTAAACCACAAGAGCTTCGTCTTCGAAGTTTATCCATAATTACCCTAAACGAACGGCAATTAACAACACAAAGTTCTCATAATAAAGTTATCCACCAATTATATTCAAGGTCAATTCCTCATTCAAAACATCATTTTCAGTATTTTCGAATATCACTTAAATGCCGTTTTCTTATTAATCACTTTGGCTCTGCCATATTGATAGCAGAACCAGAATTGCATTGTTTACTCTAATTGCTATATTCGGCATTTTTTAAATGCCATCACCAGACTTTTGATGCCTTATGCTCCTATTCATACTATAGTGCTATGTCTCTTTCTAACTATTATGCTACGTTCTATTCTAACTATTATGCTATGTTCTGCTCTAACTATTGTGCTATGGACTTTTTTATATAAACCTATAAATAAGATCTCAGAGGTTTAATAAACTAGATATTATCTTAATGAAGTATTGAATTAAAAGTTCAGCATATACTATATACTTACTTGTCTTAACATGATGGGCTTTTACAGTGATTTTGCACTGAATTGAGATAGCAGCGTAGCTTCATATTTCATATTAGTTAAAAAAAAAACTGGGTTTTGACATCTCATTTACTTTTAGCAAAACAGGTTTGTTGGAGGGATTAAATGAGATTAACTAAACTAGACGTTCTATACTGCTTATTTGAAAACTTGCACTATCTAATAATTATTAAAAGAATTTTTTTGTAAAATGCTAAAGTGCAGTTAGTATGACGTGTAATAGCAAATCAAATATGAGGATCGACGTATGGATTATTCTAGAGCTTGATTTCCTAATTAGGAATATCAGCGGACTCATAGGCCGACATTCATCTGATTGGCTAATTGATTCAATTGCCCGGGTAACTAATTTATGTGCTTTAAAGTAC